CTTCTACTTTTCAAGAGAAGCAGGGACCTGCATCTCCACAGGAAACTTCTAAATGTTGGAAACGACATTTTCGAAGCACCCTTACGGGCCCCAGTGTGTGATCGGCCACCGTGCCCTTGCTTTGCCCCCCCCCCGTCCTCCTGGGGCCCACAGTTCCTCAGGGCTCAACCATGGTGTGGGGACACCCCACCTCTGCTTCCCCTGGAACTGAGCAGATGGGCGCTAGGGATGGGCGCCCGTCTCATGAGCTGGGTCATCTGGACCCATCCCCGAGAGGAGCCGTCCTTCTGGGGTGATGCAGCCGGGTCCTGGGCCTCCTGGCCAAGAGCTATGTGTGGGCCTGGTTGGATTGTGGACCTGACAGCAGTACCCCAAGATACGTCGCTGGCCGGCCAGCCTGGACCAGCCCATCTGAACCAGGCTCCTTGTCCACTCTGTTCCTGAAGCTGGCTTGGCCCCGTGAGCTGATGTTCTAGTGGGGGAAGATGAACAGGAAACCGGCTTATTAGCAAGTTACAGAGTCAAGTAGCAGGTGGTTAGTGAGACCAGGGAGAAACAAAGCACAGTTGACCTTGGGCAACAGCAGGATTCGGGGCACTGACCCCCATGTGCAGTTGAAAATCCGCATAGAACTTTTGACTCCACAAAAACGTAACCACTCATAACCTACTGTTGACCAGAAGCCTTACCGAGAACACAAATCACCCATTAACACCTATTTTGTATGTCACACATGTGGTATTCTTACAATAAACTGGGCTAGAGAGAAGAAAGTGTTAACAAGGGGCGCCTGGGTGGCTCAGTCAGTAGTGTCTGACTCTTGATTTCAGCTCTGGTCTTGATCTCGGGGTTGCGACTGAGCCACCCAGGCGCCCGAAGTGTCTGACTCTTGATTTCAGCTCTGGTCTTGATCTCGGGGTTGCGAGTTCAAGCCCTGCATTGGGCTTCACGCTGGGCATGGAGCCTACTTCAAAAAAGAAAAGAAAAGAAATGGAAGAAACAATCAACATCCTCCTCC